TATAATGAATTATGTCGGTATATGTGCAGGTATAGAGAATTAGAAGAAATCAGGCTTATGAAATACTTAACTGTCAAGAAGATTATGATTTTGACGTATGTTTGAACCAAATCGAAATTTTTAGTATTTTTAGCCCCAATGGAGAGAACATTTCAGAAAAATCCTCTAAAGGTAAGTTTGAATCTTTTTTAACTTCAATATATATTTTAGTTTTAGTAGTGTTTACAAAAAAGAACTTTAATTTTGTAGACATTTTGTAGATTTTACTTTCAGCGGCGTTTCAAGAAATACAAAATATATAATACCATACGATCGAAAAAAAATGGCGTCAAAGATGTCTGAGGAATGAAAATCTATGATAATTTTAGCGAGGTCAAGCCTTAGATATTATTTACTTGACCCATACTTTTCTGTATTTTTTAATCGAGCTTTCTACCGGTTGGCCTTAAGAAGGTTGTACTTTATTTTTATATAGAGCAAAAATGATTTTTAAATGATGGAATTTAAAATTCGAGAAAAAAAATATTTTTTTTAGAAATAGATCTGGGTATCCTTTTATAAACTTTCTATAATTAGTGTTATAAAACTTTTGACCAGTTTTATATCGATTTTCAGTAAATAACTTATAGAGCTCAACCTCTCCAAAATGATCATCGATTGTCATTCATTTAAAATAGAGGGCAATACCTTAGAACAGGTCTACAAGTTCAAATATTTGGGGTCCTGGATAGTTAACACGTTGAACAACGACGTGGAAATAAAAACCAGAATAGAACAAGCTAGAAATGCATTTTTAAAAATGAACGTTTTCCAGAACCCCAGACTGGACCTTGAGTTAAGAACTAGGCTCGTCAGGTGTTATCCTTGGTCAATCCTATTATACGGAGCAGAAAGATGGACACTGAAAGTTCATCGAGATGAATTGCCTCGAATCGTTCGAAACATGGATATATCGAAGAATGCTTAAAATTCCATGGACAGTCCATATCACAAATACCGAAGTTTATAACTTGAATAGGCAGAGAAAGAGAATTGCTCAATATAATAAAAATAAGAAAAACATCGTACTTAGGGCATATATTGAGGAATGAAAAATACCACGTCGTACAATTAGTTGGGTAAAAATGAAGGAGAAAAGAGGTTTCGGCAGAAGAAACTATCTTGGTTGGGGCATCAGAAATTGGACTCAACTAACTTTTGAAGAACTCATAAGGAAAGCCGAGAATCGTGAAGATTTTGCCAATGTGATCGCCATGAAAGAGACGGCACGTAAAGAAGAAGAAGAAGTCATTCACCAATCGTCTTTGACGCCGTTTTTTTCGATTATGATATTTTTGAAAAATTATTTTTATTTTGATCACTTTATCAAACTGTTCATATAGTAGTTGGCCTAAAGATTAAAATAACTCTTTTTTTTTTAGAAAAGAACTGTTCCAGTAGCAGATTCTGACCGTATCAACCAACTGGCTGAACCAAAACACCGAGTAAATCTTGATGAAGAGTTTTCTAGAGAATTAATTGAGAAGAAACCACATATAAAATACAAAGGTATAATAATTTAGCTCTAAAAGCTCAAAGAGAAATATGTGAAAGTAGAGGCGCTCTAACATAGATTTCTGAGTAAATCGACTGACTATGTTCACACGGGTTAAATGCATTTCAGCTTGCCTGAAATTCGCCTATTCGCCATTTAAGTATATGTTATCGAAAAATTTTGAATGGATCAAACTTTTTCGGTTCAACTAAAATTGATCAACTTAAATCGAAAACATAGTTTGATTTCGCTTGATCAATAAAAATCGTTCAACTAAAATCGACTCGCCATAACGCGCCTTTATTGTGAATGATGTTGATGTGTGTTTTTCTAGCTTCAAAAAGAATACAGAGCCTAGCTAAACCGAAGCACGTGGTGCCTAAGAAGATCGATAGAGACCCTACGAGTGACTTGAGTAAGTCTATTACTAAAGTCAGCCCTAGCGCTTTGACGTATCAAGCGTCAAGGAGAATCATGGAACTTGCCAGACCCAAATAAGTTTTTTTCTATAAAGAATACTTTCAATGTCTAAACCTATAGAAATGACTAAACCTATAGAAAAATACAAATATAAATCAAAAATTATATTTTTTTATTTTAAATATTGTCAAAAGTGAAAAGTTTTTTGACCAATGATAAATTATACGACTACTCTTTCTAGATAAGTTTTAGATAGGTAGTCTTTTTTCGTCAGTCAGTGGAGGAAACAAAGACTAAAATTTGATATCATATGAACATTCTATACTTATTTAATTGAAAATACATATATTATGTTAATAATTTTATAATATTATGTATTTATTATTATTATTAATACATATATTATGTATTTTTCGATAACATAAATGATTGAAAAAAAAATTGAAAGTAAAGTTTTCAATAAAAAATGGAACAAGGAACTTCTTATTTGTGTTATCGTACATTATATTGACAAATATATCAATGAAAAAATCCTTCATCATGTTTATTTGAAGAAAATGGTATTTACCAAGGCAGAACATGGCAAAATAAATAAATATTGAGAATGGTGATTTTGTTAAACAACCTTTTTCTTTTACCTCTCTGTATGTATACAGACGAATCTTTGTAACTGTCATATTGTTAAGATTTATTTTTGAATTTTCAAATATTATGTTTTTTTTTCTCCTTCTGTTTTATAATAAAAATGAAAATAAAATAGGAATTTTCTAAAATTATAAAATATCAAGAATTTTAAGTTTCCATGTCTTTCATTCATATGTCCTATAATGCTTTATTTCTATATTTTACTTTACCCTGTTATAAATGATATAAACAATGCCAATTTGTTTTGGATTTAAGCCATAGGAAATCCGCATTCCTTGTCTCTATGTCTCTCGAATACCAGAATACGAGTTATATTTCATGTTTCGGTATGTAGGA